ATGTCGTCCCTTACGCTGCGCATGAGGACTTGTAGCTTCTGTCCTTCTGTGGCATGAGGATCCGCGCGGGAACTCAGGCGCAAGATATCTTCCACGAAGATAGTGACGGTCTTGTTCGGGCCTTGTGTTCTCTACCGAAGCAGGTCTTCGACTCTTTTTCGTCGATGTTGATTTGAAAACGTCCATCGGAGATCCTCTTTGAGCAGATCCCAGGAGCTGATCATCGTCTCGTGGTTTTTGTGCCAGTGTCGTGTCGTTCCCTTATGGAAGAAATAGACGTTCTGCACAAAGTCGTCCGACGTCCATCCATTTTGACGAGCCACTCGCTTATACAGCTGGATTCAGTCGTCAACGTCTTCGCAAATATTGCCGCGAAATGCAGCAGCTGTGCGAGGGGCAACGGGCAGGTAAATCATGTGGAAGGCAGCGCCGGAAGCCTCAGTTTACGGTCCCCTGCTGGCCATAGTTTGTTTTGTGGACTTCCTTCTCTGGTGGCCCGGTAGAAGTCCAAATTCTGGGGGTTGATCTCTGGTGCGCCGGCTTCCTCGGGTCTCGGTTGTCTCAATGAACGGTCTTCTTGAGCCAGTGGCTGGGCTTGCGCTGCCAGACCTCAGAAGGGTACGTTTCATGGGCTGCGCTACCCCGCAATTCCACCAGAAATGCCACAAATGACAGACGGTCAGGCAGAAGAAAGTGGAATAAACCAAATATTTAATGGGGGCAAACTTCTGCCAGAGGCGAAATAAAGAAAACAGACGTCGAGAAAGCCACAGTGAGCGCCAACAGCGGCAGCGCCAAGCGAAGGCGCGACGGCGTAACAGCTGGCTCTCCCGAGAAATAATCAGTGAATGAATCGGCAATACGGCGCAGGGCTCTTTATCTACTATGCTCGTCATCTGGAATATTCAACCTATAATGTTCGAAAAAGAGCTAGAGCAATACTGACTAGACAAGGTAATTCTGGCCTTCTTAGTGTTTACGCTCGGGGTAAGAGTATACACGAATCGTGTAGATGAACAGAGGAGCGTATTTTCTCGATCATGCACGTGGCATTATCACGGTTAGATTTCATTCCCAACGAAAGAATGCTGCTTTCTCGTGAGTAAAATATAAATCTGACGGCGCGATATTGAAGTGCCTCTATGTTTGTAATTACTCAATGTTGCCAGTGGGCGAGATGGATGGCGCGCACTCAATTTGTGATATTACAGCTGTAGTGTAGGCTACTTACTTGTTCTACTGGCGATTTTGTTAGTTTTGGATTCCGTCGAATATAGCCGAGAGAGCAGTTAGAACGTTTGACAGGGTATGTGTTATATGAGTGTTTAATTAGAGCTCGTCAGATATGTGAACACCACGATACTTGTAAGATGGACACCTGGTAATGACCTGGTTGCACATCGTGTAAGCCAAACAGAGAGGACTACGAGCACGCGTGGAGGAAATAAGTTGCGTTTCAAAAAGCATGTTGTCATTTTCCACTTTTTACGCCTGTCTGTTCTTAGGTCAAAATCGGCTTGTAGGGTTATATGTTATGGACCATGGCTACATACAAATCGGTAAATTATGCAGCTCTCTGCAGAGTCTAATACAGGATATTTTTTTTTATCAAAGAGGCCTTTTGTAAATATTAAAAAAAATACACAGTGCCAAGAACACTGCCCCAGGGAACTCCGGATGATACAGGAGAATAAGATGACGAGTAGTTGTTCATTCGAGTGTGCTGAGTACAATTTGTAAAAATATTGTTCGATTGATGAAATCAAGGACGAACGAATGTAAGGTTCATTTAGTAGGAACATGACTCAGCTATGGGATGCATTACCGAATGCTTCTGAAATTTGAATGAATATGGCGTTAGTATGTATGTTATTATCCGTATTGGTGAGTATTTTATGTACAAGTTAAAATAGTTATGTTTTACAAGAGAATGATTGCCTGAATCCGTGCTTGTTTGAAAAAGAAATATGGTTATTTCCGAGACGCATGGTGAAATTTAAATATATTGTATGCTCCAGAAGCATGGGAGACTTGTTAGGGATATGAGGTTATAGTTTCATGCTCTAACTTGATGGCCCAATTCGTGTATAGGAACCACTTTCCCAATTTTCCAGTCTTTGGGGGGCTCGTCAGAAGACAAAGATTTCTGAAAGATAATTACCGAAAAATTGACTAAGTGTGATTGTGTGTTTTATTTAGTAATTTGGAAATCATGTTGTGAGTCCAAAAATAGAAATAACCTTTGTATTGGTTTGTTTCTGCGACCTTTCTACCACCAAAGGCATATTGAAGGCACGCTTCAGATATTGAACTTATATTACATTCGACTATATATTACAGTTTATAATCGCATCCGGAAGACACATGTGGGAATGCCCATTATTTCGAGAAGAGCTACGCTAGCAGCGTCATCAAACAACCGAAGTCATAGCATTGGGATTCTATATACCGGGTGTTTCATCAAAGACTTTAATAAATCCTTAACAATATGTTTGTTGATAAGAAGAAGAAACTCTTTACGGGAACAAACTGTCGGCAACGGCGCACGTCATAGAATGTAAAACACATTGAAAAAAATTAATAAAACGTAATATTTACTAATCATTTTATAACCCGGGAAAATAAACGTTTAGTTTCAATTATAGGCTTCCTGAGCATCATTGAAAAACACTAGATCCAAACCAACGCCACAGGATTGCTGGCGTTGGTTTGGATTTCACTTCGGACACCATGTCGCGTGAAAAGTAAAACGGACGGAACCGAGACGTGTGTCCCTTGACCCCAGCCAAGCAAAGAATGCCCTTTATTCCAGATCGTTCTACCGACCACGTACTCTGATCTCAAGAACAAGGGCACGCATGCGCGCGCAACGTGCGAGTCATCTTGCTTTGCGCAGGCGAGGCAAGATGAGAGTGCTTGCTGCTTGTATACAGAGCCTCGTACCGACTTGCCGCATATACATATATTCAAAGCATGACTGCTAGTATGTCAATAATAAAACAAAAAATAATAAAAGTGTAAAAAAAATTAAAATTTATTATCAACGTGCAAGCTAAACTGGAGACACCATTCTTTTAACTGATATTTTATTCGCTTCAATAATGTTATAAAGGGAGAAGTGCTTCCGGTTACGTATTAAAATAATGTATAACATAAAAGCGTCTATTTTTTTTCTGATAACTTGTATACTTTTTTGTAAGAATAAAATTCTCAATGCGTCTCAGAGTTCAAGGTTTCGTTAGAACTGGTCAAAGTCGTTTTTATAGTAATGTTTTATTAAAATGGACGTACCAGTTCAATTCTCCTATAGTTAACGTGCCAAAAAATAAGCAGTTTCTCACATTTGTCCACGTCGTCGTACGTATAGGCAATATTGCTTGAAATTTTGTAGACTATTTTGTCTATTTATAGTCGTGCATATAATTGTAAAACTTTAGCAAGCGCTATATAACCAGACGGCATATCGAGAGATTGATTCACCGAGCGCACTACACACTTTTTGTTCCTGAGAGAAACATTTGCTATACAACGCATCCTGTACAAGTACCCAAAAACAACGCGCATTATCTTGACGAGAAAATCAACATGATTATTCCAAGAGCAGTTCTCATCAAGATTCCTCCCCGAACATACAGGTCTCGTAACATAGTCTAACAGTTTAATGGTACGCAATTAGAGCTTTTACAGCCTTGTGGACACAGGAATAGAGGAGTCGTCAATTTTAGGCCTTTATACCGACTATGAAAGCACATTAGCTTAGTTTTATTAGTTAGCAGAAACACAATTAGCTGGAAACCAATTACCTATACCATTCAACATATTTCTAAAAGTGAAGCGAGTTTGTTTCTTCATCGTGACTCAATACCAAAGCAGTATCATCAACATATTGATGTAGGTGAGACTCAGTTGGAGAGAATCCAATTTGATTCAAGTAAATAATAAACAAGAGCGGCTTCAATACAGGTCTTGGGCATCCTTCAGAATTTACGTGTACTACATATTCCTCTTGACGTTGCCAATTCTAACTAATTGATAACGGTCAGTTATATTGTTCCTCAAAAAAAAAACCTAAAAGCATACCTGAAACCCATATAAGATAGTTTTATATGAGTGCATTATTATCAATAGTTTCAAATGTTTTTGCCATGTCTAAAAACAGTCCTCGAAAAAATTTATTGCTACCGAGACTGTATTTTAAGTAGTCTCAAAAACATTCCAGCAGTAGTTCAGTAATCCTATGTTTAAGAAAACCATGTTGAGAAATTCGTAAATGATAATTTTTTTTTTTTTTTGCATTAGGAGGTTCTTGTATTCACCGCAAATTTCTTAATACTTTGCGATATAACCAGTAAAGTTGAAATTTCTCTGTACGGTAATTTCTAACGTCTTTTGTTTTAATCCCTGACGTTTGTTTTTGCCGGTAGTAGATTTTAGTGAAGTTATATATTTTTCTCAACCACATTGCTTTAGGATTTTTTTTAGTCTTCGCTAAACACCCTCTTTGTATATGAATATAACAAAAAGAAAACTGACACAGGCGACGCTGTCTATTGAAGTCAGACATAAAAGCACGCATCGTCGGAGAAGCGCTCACAATATAACGTATCATTATCACATAAAAGTTGCCAATATCGCTATATACTTTAAGATTACTTCTCCGTTTAGAAAAACTCAACCTTTACGCACTTTCACTATATTGTTCGTGGTAAAGGTTCGTCGCCCCATGCGCCGTTTCCACACGTCACCAGCATATTCCTACGCATTGCAGACGGCATTCACACTCTTCCTGTTGACGTCGTAATCGTACGAACAGATTCAGAGACGCGTAAAATAAACACATACGCTTTAAGTTTTACTCTTTTTCAAAACGTCCTACGCACGCACCTGCCGTTTATTTAAAGAAAGATGGTGCAATAAACGCGTCTCATTCTCTGGTATATATATATATATATATACAATTAGTGAATCGACGATGTTCATATAGAAGAGATTCTAAAATTATGTTCGCGATATTTCAGTTCGCGTTCTTGACGTGGCTGCTCTTACGCGTTGCAGATTGTGGTAAGTGTTCGCTAGAGCAATCATGGTATACAGGTCTCACTCCCCTGCATTTCCACCTCGACTAATAAGTAACTTAAGTTCCTTCGGCGCTTTGCCCCTTGTTGTTGTTGCAATACCCAGCACATACTCTCGTGAACGGTAATAGAAAATGCCACAAATAGTGAAAACATTATAAGGAATTTGTTTCAAGCGCCTTGTTCGTAAGATGTTCACCTTGTCCCCGCTGTAAGTAATAATTCGCCATATTATTCTGGTAGCCGAAACCGCCACCTCATGAAAAATCTCATTCTGGGCAATAACTATGACGTCTTCACGTTTCTCCTGGTGTTTCTTAGTTACACTAAGAAACAGGGGCTCAAGGCCCGCCCTGCGTTCCTTGAGCCCCTGAAGGCTCAAGGAACGCAGGGCGGGCCTCCTATGAATTACGCCTTCTGACTGGTCATTCGTGTTTCGGCGTTGTCATCGGCTCATGCAGCATTCTCATTGACTGCGAGGCGTTAATGAGATACTTGGGAACTGGCACGCCCATATGCATCCTTTAAGCTGCCTCTGAGCACGTGATATTTGTAAATTTACTATCCTGTTCCTTCCTAGGACAAACATTACCAGCAGATGGGTACTCTGCTGGACAATATTGTCAATACCATTGTATCTGGGTTTTCCTTTCGACGAATTTTGTAAATGTAAACATTAAGGCCTTCGGCTTTGTCACTTCCTCGTTCTTTCAAATTATATCTTGGAACAGAGTCGCGGCGCCTTTCAAGAAATTTGCGGTTCAGCGCTCCTGTTTGTGTCAATGTGAAAAGAATGACAGAATGCGTCTACATATTTTGTTTAATAGGCATCGGCCGCTATGTTATGTGTAAAGATAAATAAATAAATAATATCGTTTTAGAGATATTGCAAGTATTCTTGTGTCGCAGCCTTGGAAATCAGGGAAAATTAATCTTCAAAACAATTTTTTTTTTTGGGGGGGGGGGGGGGGAAGGAATTGCTGTATTTTCTGTCGAGGGTAATTTATTTACAACACACGCGACACGTAAAACGACGCCAGAACAACATTGACAAGTAAATAGGACCTTATTTTTAACAGAAGTTGTTGTACGCGAGTAATTTTTATATTAACACACAGTTACATACTTGACGTGAGTGTAGAATAACCTGACAACAGAGAAAGACGCATCTGAAGGGTTATTAAATTGCTTGATTTGAATTAGAGTTACATAGTTAAAAAAAATATCAATAAATTTCAAGGAATATTGATATGAAAGCGCACTTCAACTGTCTCTTCACACTTACTGCGTAACAAAATTAGCATTAATGTGAAGTCACCTTATTTTTGTAATTTTGTATGCTCTAGAGTGTCTAACAGCAATTTTCAGCCCATAGGTGTATTCCCCGCGTAAATACATTTCACTACGATAGGTTCTAATCACAGCGTGTTAGCTATGAATCAGTACTAAAAACAAACCAGTGACCGCTTGTTTTTTTGGCTTCGTCATATACACCACCGATAAAAGATTCTTTATCTAATTTGTTCTAGGTCTGTATTTCTTTATTATTTAAAAAAGACGTGTCAGATTTCTCTGGCATATGTTACTGGGCAGAACCTGATTTAGAGATTATCTCAAATTAAACACCTAAATGACAAATTACCATCGAATACAGTTTTTTTTTTAATCATAAGAAATCCATTACCTTGAATAGGCTGATTATATTCTTAGATGAGTGACACGGAACCTTCGTACCGCTCTTTTTATTTTTTTAAACGCGGCAGATTGTTGAATCTTGACGAGCAGGTCGAGTTATACGTCTGATGTTGTCCTTTTATACGCCAGCATGTCCACGTCGTCCCGCAAGTTATGGGCGCGTGTGCGTCAAAACCGTTCGATCCAACGTATAAAGCATCGGAACGATGGCCGGATCCTCCAGGTTTGGCCATCGCGGAACGTTGGACTAGGGCTCTCGCAGTGAGAGGACGACCTGCAAAATATTAGGCGTGTCAAGGGAAACCTAACTCGATGAAAACCCCTACACTCTAAAAAAGCCCGTGAGTCTGCTTTCCCGCACAACACTCGCAGAGCCAATCCCCGCAACTTACGGAGGCAGCTCAGCGAATGACAATGCCGAAACATATGTTTATACAAAAAAACGCAGTCTGAGTTGTGACATTAAGCAATGCAAGCGTGACGTTTTCCGTTGCTTAACGTCACAACTAGGACTGCGTTTTTTGGTCTAAACATATGTTTCCGCAATGTCCTTCGCTGAGCTGCTTCCGTAAGTTACGGTGATTGGCTCTCCGAGTGTTGTGCGTGAAAGCTGACGCACAAACTTTTTTTAGAGTGTATGGCGCGCGCGTCATAGTGGCGTCACGCACATGCTCCGCGTGACTTGTGTGTGCGGCAAGTCAGAGCGACCACATTTCTAGAGTAACTAGGGTTTGAACGAACGTGTGCCTTGCGCCGCCGTATTGTGAAATTACAATGAGAAAAAAAATGCAATTTCAAAGAGGCGAATCATACTTTCAGCTTGCGTTCAAAGGCCACTGTTCTCTACGCCGTTGGACTATAATTAATGTTTTTTCTGTTGCCCCTTAATATAGGTGTTACATGGTAGAAAAACCAAGGTGGTGTTCTTGTCCTTTTTAGCTCTTTCTCTATAGGTTTTTCTACTATGATTCGTCACTAGCTCGCCTGAGTGTTTACTCTAATTTCTTAGCTGCTGCACCCCGTCTATATTTTGCTTGCAGTGTGACGAAGAAGCAATTACTGCATTATCATTATGCGCAAAAAGCCGAAAAAAAAAAGCTCCGCTAGAAACATTTCGTACGATAAATATTATACACGCAAACTTTCGCATTAAAACAAAGTGGCAACGGAAGCGAGTTGGTACATCCAAACAAATTAGTTAAGTTGTCTAAAGTAGACAGGGACGGAGATAGATAGTGGACCTGAGAAGCACAGCACTTCAATTTATTTATTTATTGGAGCACATGGGAAGGGGATGACTAAAGCCGTGGTGTGGGATTAGGGTTTGAGGAGGGGGATAAAAGGCATATGCGAGGATTTCTGCACGCTTGACAATCTCTCTGGGGTGCAGAAGGCATCCTAGAGGTCGTTCTGCTTCTGAATATTCCTGCCGGTATGAGAATCTGCCGGTCAAGTAATGGGAGTCACCTCACACTTCTCTCGCAAGGCCACTCTTACCACCATAGCGTGTTTTGGCTAGGGTGATATGTTCGGAAGTGTGCAAGTAATGTGTCATGATCGGCATGTGGCATATCCTGAATATATGTCCTGCCGGCGGACAAGCGTGAGCAGTCCCAGATAAGGTTCAGGAGATTAGCTCTGCACTCCAATCCGCAGTGACTGCACGAACCGGTGTGTCCGCGGCTGGGGTGTACCATTTCTTAAGTCGATACTCCCTCGGGCTGCCGTGGCGGTGTAATGTGCCACTGCCTTCCATCCTGTCAATCCGGTGTGTACTGATGTCCACTGAGTACGAAGGTCGAGGCCCACATCTTGTAAGTCGTGCACTAGTTTTCTTTTGGGCTGAGTCGGGGAGTCATCCGTATTAATGTTTTCGATTTCTTGGAGCGCTTCCTTGGCGTCCGTTAGTAATCTTATGGACTCGTGTTGTCGTAGGGGGCCTGGGATTGAGGAAGGGGCTCCTCATATTGCCAGGAGTTCAGCCTGCCGGGCGTCGATATAGAGGAGGTGATAACTATGGGCGCTATTCAGTTCCGGTCGTGTGGGGCAGTACCAGGCCATGCCCCCCTTGCTGTTGTTAAAACTGGCGTTTGTGTAGATGACCATGTGATCTTGTTCGAACTGTTGGTGCTGATTGGCAATACGAACATTGGCATACGTAATGATCTCCCACTGCCGTATTATCTTGTACACTTCCGCATTAATACGTCAATAGTTGGGTTATGGTCGTCCAGAAGGGAGAGATCTAACGGCCACCCGGGTGAGAGTGATCCTGCTGCGTAATATTATCATATGCCATTAATATCACTACTATAAGCTCCTCAAGTAAGGGTGAGAGTTCGTGCGCTAAAGAGGCGAAGGTTGAGGGTACACTGGACATAAGGCAAACCCACCTGGAAATGGGTCTTACGTCTACTAGAGTATCAGCTTTATGTTTACCCAGCGTATTTAAAGTTCATCAAAAAGTAATTATTACACGATCACACGATCCCTAGGATTTTCGTTTTGACTAAGTCGTGTAGGGTCTAGAATCTAACCAAGGAATTATCCTGAGGTTTGACTGGCGTAACGAAATAGTAAACTGGGCCAGTTAGTAGTAATTAAATATGGTTGATGAATATCAGCTTCAAAAGACGGTGACCAACAAAGAAAAAACATGACAGGACGAAGTTGAACTCGTAACTAAATATATTACTTGAAACAAAACAAAAGGAAAAATGTGTACAAATCAGATCTTCATAAAACATTGCCCTTTCACACACACACACACACACACAAACACACACTCGTTATCCCCGCTGCTCATTATTAGGCGAAAGTGAATTTACGTTACGTCAGTATTATCCGGACACTTTATTGAAGATACCAGGAACGTCAGCTCCTTTTGGGGCAACGCAAAAGATGATTCGCTCACAAACCTCGCCCCTAAATATAATATGTAAAAAGCTTCGATAATTTCTCTCGTGGCCTTGTCCCTGTTCTTTCCTAGGACTCTCGCGTCAGTGAAGGCAAGCTGGCAAAAATAGTTCCTAGAATTTAAAAGAAGAAGGCCACCCACCGTTTTTTTTTTGGAACAAATACGCATGTTTTTCGAGTCTGTCGTTCAGACACTTCCCCGTGTGCACGACACTCAACTTTCCACAAGACAGGCAAATTCGATACACAACACACGAAACGCATGACACAAGCGGGTTTACATGTTTTTGGAACACCTCACATTCGCACGCTTTCTAACTTTCTCACCGACTCCGGCACAAATTTGGCTCAATTTTGATGTTGGTGAGAACACCT